CCTGGTTCTGGTAGTTGTGATCCGATGCGTGTCTGCAGGTCCGATCAGACGCTAGTCCATCATTGTGATCGTCCACCAGGTTTAATCACCTTTTATTGATTAAATGACGGTTTGCTGCAGAACCTGGTTTGTTGTGGACCCGTTCAGCTCCATGCGTGGTTCTGTTCGTGTGTCTGATCCAGATGTTGCTGTGATGCTGCTAATCAGCGCCAGATTATCGGTGATTTACCATCATTGAGTTCAGTCTGAAGCAGCAGGAACGTTCAGAACAACAACACTCGGGTCACTGGTTCTGGAGCGTTCTGAGCTCGGTCTCGTCACCCGGTCGGTGCAGTGGAATGACCAAGAAGTGAAGCAGGTGAGTTCCTGAGCTGGGCTGCAGGTGGCAGCAGCTGTCGAGCCATGAGACGGCAGAACTGGACCTCAGAGCAGGAAGCAGAACCTCCAGACTGTCACTGCTCAGAGCGGATCAGAACTCCAGTCTGAACACTGAGTGGAGGTCGGTTCTGTGAGACTCAGTGTCAACATGATGACAGAGTCAGATGCTGACTCGTCGGGTCGGACCGGGTCAGATGTAAAAAGATAAATGATAAGAACGCGTCGGGTTCAGTTCTGGTCCACGTCCGGCACAGTTCTGATGAATACAAGTTACAGGATTAAATCTGTAGAAGCTGCTTTCAGGCCGGTTCTGATCAGAACAAGTTGGGTTTAAATGTTAAACTGATACGACCTGAGTAGAAATGAGATTAAATCTGAATTCTAACATAAAACCCAAAGTTCTGACAAACATCAAGGTTCTGATCAGGAGATGAAAACAACAATAACCGGGTCAGGTGATGAAGTCTGGCTTCAGTCCAGAGCTGCGGTCCGAACCGGAACATGTGGACTTAGAGTTTAGATTCATGGACAGAAAGTCTGATTGGACTTGATTCTGATGAAGGTTCGGCTGATGTTTGCTGAAGTTTTGAGGAACCATGAAGGAACCTTTGAGGAACGTTCCGGGACGTTGCTCCTCCTGTGTGCAGGTAAAACCCACCTGAGGAGGAGGAGACTCTGATCAGGACCAACATGGCGGCTCACATCCGAACCGGGAACTTCGGGGTCCTGCTGACCCGCTGCAGGGTTCCGGGACTCGGCTGCTCCGGGACCGTTCCGGCCCGCCGTCTCTCCTCGGTACCGCCGCCGGGCACCTGGAGCTCCCAGCTGTCCCGGCTGCCCCACCGGGACCTGTACCGGCTCTCCGTCAGCGACCCGGACCGGTTCTGGGGCTCCGCCGCCGCCGACCGGCTCCGCTGGATGCAACCCTTCCAGCGGGTTCGGGACTGCGAGCTGCTCAGCGGGAGGATCGGCTGGTTCCTGGGCGGGAGGCTCAACGTGTCCGGTGAGTTTACCGGAGACCCGACGAGCGTTCTGAGCGGACCGGTAGCGCGCATCGATCAGTGATCAGGTCCAGTGTTCTGATCAGTAACCAGCAGAGCAGCTCTGGAGCATCAGTGAAAGAAATCAGAAACTTTATTCGCGTTGTTCAACAGAACCGGACTTTGTTCGGTCGTTTAAAGCTGCTGGATGAATCTAATCAATCAATCGATCGATCGATAATATTAGTAACAATAAAACGTGTTCAGATCAAAGTCACCTTAGACTTGTTTAGGTTCTGGTTCAGAACCAGATGGACCTTTGAACCAGTGGAACGTGATTCTGATCACAGACTGAACTAACCGTCACAGAAACAGTGGGTTTAAAGGGTTCTGGACCGTTTCACTTCAGAACCTCCGCTCTGTGTTGGACGTGGAGGCGAGCCGCTGGCTGGCTCGGTTCTGTGTTCAGAGGAGCTCACTAGGCTGCTGATCTGCTCCAGGAGCTCCAGAACCAGCTCAGGTCCTCTGCTGCCATCAGCAGGACGGAGACGGGTCCACAGACTGAAGTGTTCTCATACATCTGCTGTAAACACCTTCAGCTGGTGTTCTGCTGCAGCCCGACCCACATCCTGATCCGGTTCATCGTCCTGTCTGATAATAATCCAATAACATTCCAATAACAGCAGCTCTGCTTCGTTATGTCTCTGTTACATAAATGGTTTTGTGAAAACGCTGCGTGACGCTCAGACTGGATCTTCAGGCTTAAATCTGAAATCCAGTTTAGAATTAATCAAAGTACAGACCAGACGGATCAGCACCGAGCTGATCATCAGCAGATCAACAGAACCGATCACCTGAGTGTTGATGTTAATGATCAAATGTTGGAAGCAGGTTCAAAAAATGATGTGAAACTGTGCAGCAGCAAGTTCACACCTGTCACAGTAATCAGATTACTTCTAACAGTAGAGTATTTACTCTGATATCAGGTTACTACCAGCTCACATCCACAGATTAACTTCAGGCTCCACAGCAGGAACTACAGCGAGTCCATCTCTGGTTCCTTCAGTCTTCAGTTCTGCTGACAGACTCAGTCCTCCTCAG